CCGCGCGGATCGGATCAGGACGGTCGACGGAAGTGGCCATTTCAAGTCGCCCCTCGGGGCCGAAATCCGAATTGGTTCTACAGGCTTGGAAAGGCCAGGGTTACGTGTACGAGCAGAGATCCCAAGGTGATGTGCCGCTCGGTGGCAGCAGTCCTGGATTGGGCCAGACACCTGCGACGTATGAAATGCCCCGCCTGCAGACTCCAGAACTCATGCTCTTGGAACGCAGACAGCTGATCAGGGACAGCAGAGCGAACAGGGAGGCCACCTCTGTGCTCCTGAGCTCGCGCCGACAGCTTCTCGTCCAGCATTTCTCTGGTCGCTGCGAGCTGCGCCGCTGCCCAGGCAGAGAGCTTGGCAAGGGTTTATACGCCTTGAGCTCGTCGGCGGCGTCGGAGGCCGAGGCGTCAGCCACTCCTATGGTCATTGGCCCCGATCCGAGGAAGCAAGTCGGCCCATATGAGCTGCCCATGTGCCGCTCAGGGGGCTTGTTAGGGTGCCGCTCGAGAAAATCGAGCGAGTCCAGGTGAGCTGGGACCCATTCAAACAAAGGGGGCGTGCCTCTGCCCGTGCAAACATATGCCTCTGCCCTGGCAAACCTTGCACATCCGACGCCAAACAGAAACAGATGAGACTCCAGAGTCCCCCAGGGTAGGACACAAGTCCTGCCCCATCGCGGACAGCCCGCAGCTGATCAGAAACCAGGACGAGAACCCCAACCTCCCGCCTGCGCCCGGCGGCCCGCACGCGCCACGGAAGGAAGAGCAGCCCTTCGGCCGCAGAAGTGCGGAGGAGGAGGAGGGAGGAGGAGGAGGAGGAGGAGGAGGAGGAGGAGGGAGGGAGGAGGAGGAGGAGGAGGAGGAGGAGGGAGGAGGATCGCAACCTGCTCCGCCATGCCCACCGTCTGCACGGGGACAGGGAGCCCCAACAGGCTCGAGCAGGGATCCCTTCCCCCCCCCCCATGTGAAACGCCGCCCGCCCACATCTTCGAAACTGAGGCTAGGCAGTGTGCAGCCAGGACCCGTACGTGGAGCCCTCGCGGGGCCAGCCACTGGGATCAGACTGACAAGCGCCCAGCGAAAAAATGCATTCGATTACTGGGCATGGAAACCTTCAGGGGAGCAAGCGGCAATCCTGAGCTGTAGTTCATCAGGGCCCAGCTCTCGTTACCGATCGCGTCGTTCGCGCACTTGCTGAGGTGATCCCTGATCTTCCCGAGCTCGTCATTCCACTTGGGCAAACCCTTTGCTGTCGCCCTCCAGCAAAGAGGGGCATGAACACAGAGAATGACCAACAGTACCTCGCAGGTGTCGAGCGCGGCAGTCTGGCTGGGGGCGCGCATCAGCTGCACCTACGCTTATAGCGCTCGGCCACCATCACGAGCCCACCCGACCAAAGTACCCTCGGCGCTCCTGTCGGGTGAGGCCTTGAACCATTCGCGTCAATAGCCTTGGTCACGATCGGGAGCGCTCTCGTCCAGATGGCCTCATTGCCCTCCAGATGCTCTGGGACTGCAGCAGGACGTGGAGGAGTAGGATGAATGAGGCATTTTTACAAGCGCGAAAGAAGCCCTGTGGCACGGATGGGGAGAACAGAAGGTGAGGGGGGGGCGGGGGGGCGCGCGCGCCCGAGCGCGACGCCGCGAATCCACTAATCAACCGGGCGCCCCAGGCCGCTCAGCCAGGCGCTCCCGCAGAGCGACCCGCCACTCGGCGTCGGCGCCCCCTGCGCGCACCGCCGGGAGCAGCAGGAGCGGCGCTGCCCGCCGCGGGAGGACCGGGACCCGCCCGCCACACGGCCGGCTGGCGAGGCGGCCCCACCGCGGGGCCCAGCAGCCGCAGCGCGCGCAGGCAGGCGGCCCAGCCGGGCCCTTGCGAGGCCACGCGCGCGCGCCACGCGCCGCTTGCGAACAGCGCCTGAGCTTCTGCGGCCCCTCCCCGCCGCGGCGCGGGGGCCGCGGCGCCGCCCTGGCCGCGGGGGTCCGCGGCTGCGGCAACGGCGGCGGCCACGGCCGCGTCATCCGCCGCCCGGGGATCCCGCCTCCCTGGCCGCCGGCGGGGGCGCGGCACTGTCCAGCGCCGCTGCGCCCGGGGTGCGCCGCGGCCGTCGCTGTCGCGGCTGGCTTCCAGGGCCGCCCATTCCACTTCGGCCAGCATCTTCTGCAGCACCTGCAGCGCGAGCAGCTGGACCGCGCGCGCCTGCAGGAGGTCCGTCGGCGGCAGCCGGGCCTCGGCCGCCCCCCCTGCCAAGCGGCCCGCCGCGGCGCTCCCGCGCCGGTCCTCTTCCGAGACCCCTCGCTCGGCCGCTGCCGCCGCGTCGAGGTGGCCCTTGACCCAGCGCGCGACGGCAAAGCCTGTCTGGCAGTAGGGCTCCAAGAGCGACCACAGGTCAGCGTGCGTCCAGTCGCGTGGCGAGGCGCCGCCGGAGAAGGCGACCATGCCATCCCGGACATACTGCGAATCCGCGACGACTTCCACGAGGGAGCTTGCCAGACTGACGGCGTTCAGAGCTGCGGTCAACTCTGCCCGCTGGGCCGTCTGCGCGCCATCGACTGGCCCGCAATGCCCGGCCACGGGCGCCCCAGGCCGCTCCAGCTGCAAGCCCCAGCCAGCGCGCGCCAGGGGCGGGTCTGCTGGGTGCGTGCAGGCCCCGTCCGTCCAAGCCCGGCAACGACACTGCGCAACTGCTGGGGGCAGCGCGGGCGCGGGCAGCGCGGGGGCCGGCAATGGCGCGCTAGCCGCGGCCGCCAGCGCCGCCAGCCGGGCGCGGGAGGACGCCAGAGTTGGCCATCCCAGCCGGCAAGCGCGCCCGAAGGGCGGTGGCCGTGAAACCGCCGGCGGCCAGGGCAGAGTTCCGGGGCCCAGACCACCGGGGGCGGTCCCAGAAGTATCCTCCCGCGCGTCGCCACAATGTGGGCGGCGCTCGGGCTTGCCCCACTTGGCAGCCACCGACTCGGTGAACACATTCCCCGTCAGCACGGCCGGGAGCGCACCGGCGGCATCGGGGGCGAGCTCGCCGCTCTCCAGGAGGCGGCGCGTGGCCCACGTACTTGTCCACCCCAGCACCGACGCGCGCGAAGTCGGCGCGCCGGGCCGCGAGCGCGCGGGCCTCGCTGCGAGCCCAGGCCGCGAGGAGCACGTCTCGCGTGTCCTGCAGCGGGCGGGCGGCAGGCCGCCACCCTGCCGGCGCTGGGGGGGCGCCGCGCCAGCCTTCCACGTCTGAACCGAGCTGCAACTCCAACATGCTCCGCGCCTCAGCCGCAAGCGGGCCCTGGACGCGGCCGTGCCCAGCAGCGATGGCTCCCCCCACTGCCCGCTAGAGATCGCGAGGGAACCGCCCCCGCCGCTGCGCCTTGGCGAGCTGCCAAAGAGGTGCGATGGCGGCCACAGCCGCCGGGTCGAAGCGCCAGCTCGGGCTGAGCACGCCGACGACCACTTCTGCGGCAGCGCGGAGGCCCCCTCTGCACACCGCGTGCCGGGCAGCGGCACGGAGGCCAGCGAGCTCGCGCGCTGGGGGCCGCCCGCAGGCGGCGCCGTACAAGCCGGCGGCCGTGCCAGCGGCTGCACCCATCAGGCAGCGTTGCCGGAAGCTCATTTTCAGGCGGCCGATGCGACCGAACCGGCCCACCGCATCGAGGACGCACGCGGGCGCAACCGCGCGACGCGCGCGGCCGGCGGTTGCGACGACCCCGAGGTCCTTGAAGCTAGTGCCGGCGGCCATCGGCGACTGAGCGGCCAACCATCGCCTCAGCGCCGCAGTGTTTGCGGACTGCGCGCTCTTGTCCCGGTTCAGCCGCCACCCCAAGGCGAGCTCGAACTCGGCGGTCACGCGCAACGCGTCGCGGACCGCCTTTGCCGCCTCGCTGGCCTCGGCGGCGGGCCGCCGTGACCACAGCGCGAAGTCGTCCACGCAGATCCGGCGTTTGAGCCCGTCGTCGAGCTCCCCGGCGCGCCGGTGTCACGCCAGCGTCAGCACGCTGAGGAAGAAAACGGCCAGCGCGCAACCGGGTAGGATACCACTGGTGGGGGCCCACGCGCTGCCGATGGCACGGCCGACCCGGATCCTCCGATTCGCCGTGTACGCGTGCATGGCGGGCCCCACGATCCATGGCGGCACCCCCGCACGCGCGACGATGCCAGGCAGCCAGGCGAGATGGATATGGTCGTGCGCCTTTCGCCAGTCGATCGCCGCGCCGACCATGCTCTCGCCGAGGGCCTCGGCTGCCTCAAGCTCCAGCGCTAGCTCCCACGCGAGCTCCTCAGCGCCTGTCTGCACATCCTCGCCGGCCCACTGCAGGCGCCAGCGTGCAAAGAGGCGGGCACGGCCAGCGGCCCACAGACGGTACAGGATCGGCAGCAGCCAAATGGGCCGCCTGTCCAGCGCTCCGCCCTCTCCACCGGGCGTCGGGAGGAGCAGCCTTTCGGCCTCGGCCAGCTCGCGGGGCCAGCGGCCGAGCGCCTCCACCTTCAAAGAGTGACGCAATCCAGCCATGGAGCTCCTCTGGGAGCAAGCGCAACTCGCTCACCGTCCATCCGTCTAGCCCGGCCTTCTTGCGTTTCGGCATCTTCCGCAAGAGCGAGGCCACCAATTCCACCGTCCAGGGGACGCGGTCGGGGAAGGGCGGCAAACCGTCAAGCGCTAGAAGCCACTCCTCGCCGAGGGGCGGCACCGCGTCCCGCTGCCAGATCGCCTTTCAGGGGCCCTCGAAGAATCGCAGCTGCGTGGCAGACGCCCCGCGCATGGCAAGCAACCAGGTCGGCAGGGCAACTGCGCGGGGCAAGAACCCCCGCGCAGGGCAGCTGCGTGGCAGAACCCCCGCGTAGGATGTACGAGGCACACTACGCTCGGAGGAAGGGAGGGGGGAGAAGAGGAAGGAGGAGCAGACAGCGAGGGGGGGAAGCGAGGAGGAAGGGAGGGAGGTGGGAGGAGCGATCCGGGGAATCCGGGTGGCGGCGTGGGACGCGGTTCGGCACGGCAGCGCCCGCCCAGCCAGCCTCCAGGCCCTTTTGCCGAGAAGTGTGCTGGGTGCCTCCGCCCTCCGCTGGGGTCGCTGGCGTCGTCGCCGTTGTCGGCGTCGTTGTCGTCTTCGTCAGAGAGGAATGGACGAGGGGTGGACGAGGGGTGAGGGGGGAAGTGGGATTCGAGGAGGGGGAGGAGGAAGGGGGAAGTAGAGGCGGGGAGGGGGAGAGGGGGGCTTTGGGAGGAGGGAGGCGGAAGGGGGGGGGAGGAGGAGGAGGAGGAGGAGGAGGAGGAGGAGGAGGAGGAGGAGGAGGAGGAGGAGGAGGAGGAGGGAGGAGGAGGAGGAGGAGAGGAGGAGAGGAGGAGGAGAGGAGAGGAGGAGGAGGAGGAGGAATGAGGAGGAGGAGGAGGAGCATGAGGGAGGGGGGGAAACGAGAGGGAGGATGAAGTGGGATTAGCAAGCGGGAGGAGGAAGAACAAAACCACGATGACGACGAGGATGATGAGAAGCAGGACGAGGATGGCGGTGAGGAGCATCAGGGCGAGAAGGAGGAGAAGTGGAGTAGGGAGTAGGAGAAGTCGCGTCCCCAAACAACGCCTGTTGGATCGGTGGATCGTATGTTCCGTCGGGTCCTGGAAGCACCTCCTTTCTCACCCACGGTGCCTTCCCCCCAGCTCCCCCCCGGGCCCATGGACATATATGGTCTTTGTACTGGTCGCCTGTCCTCGCCGCGCTTTCCTGGACGTCAAGTCGAATCCAGCCTTGGCAGCTCCTCCCCCCCCCTCTCATTGAACTCCAGTAGCAGGTGACACCACGTATATATGGCTCAAGTAAGAGTGGCTCAAGTGGCTCAAGAGGCGTCCCAGAGATCGCTCGGTCGGCCATCTACCCTTCCCCAGTTGCACTCCCGACCTTCCCTCTGCCATGGCGCCGTGCCAGGTTTGCCTCCGCCATGGGGTGCAGGGCGAGGCGCTGCCGGGCTTGGCTTTCTGCGCCGCACATGGTGGCGCCTCCGGCGACGACGACGCGACGGGCCTCACCCAGGCTGCTGCGAACCTTGCCGTGCAACCCCCTCCTGGACTACCAGGCCACGGCCCTCTTCCGGACGCATGGCTCGCGGAATTCATGGATGATGAAATGGCGCAGCATTTTGGGCTGGTGCAGGCCGCCAACATGACGCTGCCGCAGGACCTGCAGAATCTCCCCATCAAGATTCCCTCCACCTGGGAGGCCCTCCGCGCCATTCTGCTGAAACTAGCCTACAACCCCGTCTCCGCCAACCCATGGAATGTCTTGGGTTTCGGCCCACTCGACGGCCCCGCGCCTACCGAGCAGGGCATCGCAAGTCGCACGCGGACGGCTACCATCCTGTGCTCCCTCGGTCAGGCTGCCGATTGGGACCCGGCTGGGAGAGCGAGCGCGGAGGCGGCCGCTGCTCACTTCGCGACCGCTGGCGCGCGGTGCGCGGAGCAGTTGGACGAGGTTTTGCGCGAGCGTCGCCGTCTCCGTCCCTCCGAGCTCCCACGATGGAAAGAGTTGGGAGCGTCTGCGCTACAGGCAGTCCGCGCCATCCCAACATGCGCAGACGCCACCTTAGCCACGCAGTGGTCCCAGCTCCTCAGCAACACTACCACGGACCATTCGGTCATACTGGAGCAGCACCGTGAATTGGCCACACTCTTGGAGAAGGGCGACACGCGGGCCCTGGAGAAGATGGGGGGGCAACAGATCTTGGCTTGGGCACCGGTGGACACCAATGCGCTCCAGAGGATCCTTGCCGGTCTACTCCGACAGCCCGATCCAGCACTTCGCCCTCAGCGACTTTCGCTTCTGGTTCCGATCCCCCATTTTCCTGGTGTCGACTCTCCGGCCAAGCTTTTCGACCTCTGGTGGCACCCGCTCCTCGGCGAGAAGCCGCTGTACATCTCGTTGGTCCGTGCCGTGGATATCATCCTGCAGCCTGTGGAGTACATCCTCCCAGGAAGGTCCGCTCCCCGGCATGTACGGCAGGGCCTCGCGAGCTTCACCATCACCACGGCAGGACACCGATCGTCACCGACCGTCTTCTCCCCCTTGGCCCCGCTGCTCCAGCTCCCCGCGGTGAACTCGTTTTGGGTCGACGTCCCGACTCAGCTCTTCCCGAACTTCATGATCAAGATGGTCAGCCCCGAGGTCACCAACCATGGTGTTTCTTTCCTCTGCCGGCATACCTCCAGAAGTTGGGGCAGCACTCCGGAGGTCCCGCGCGTGTGCGTGGAGATCATTCTACCGAGCTCTCTTTCCGAGGCGGGTTCCATGCTCGCCATGCGCTTCCTGCGGAGGACCGTGCTGACTGAGCAGATGTACCTTGGGCACAAGGAGCTGTACACGTCTCCAGACGCCCTCGTGGTGGAGTGCAACAGCCCGCTGGGACTGGTCCGTGCGTGGCCGTTGTGCTCACAAGCGATCTTCCTCTCATCCGACAGGGTGCTCGTCTTCACGTCGGCCTCCGTGGAGTCGTGGACCGCGCTGCTCGACAGGGGCCTCCGGGAGGATGAGAACCGCGCGATCACGAACATTAAGCACAAGGCCAGCAGCTATGGCGGCCGTCCCTGGGCATTTCCATCCGCTACTGCTCTCGCCCTCGCTGCCTCCCGTCGCCAGCGGGGGCGCGGCGGTCGCAGCTCCACCATGTGTGACAACATCGCGGAGATCACCGTCGCCGGGGAAACCGGGGACAACGGAAGCGTGGTCATCAATCAGCTCCTGTCTCACGTCTGTGCTGCCACGGGCCTGGCGCTCTCCGCGGCCCCCCCCAGGTCAGGTGCCACGGCCAGGACAGTGGGTCCATCTTGCTTCTCGGGACGCTAGCGCTCATCCTGGCCGCGCACGCGTGTACCTACACTCACAGGAAGATGTCCAGCAGGTGTATCGCTCGTTGCATGGTCAGGTGCTCCAGGTCGGCGTGGACTTCTTGGCCATCAGGGTGTCCAACGACGTCCAGGACTCTCGCACCCTGCCGGGAAACAGGCGGCGGGGGGGGCAGGGGGCTGCCTCCCCCGCCGCCGCGTGACCTCCCCAGCGCCTTCGACGAGCTATGGAATTCAGATTTTTGATTGCAAGGGTACCTCATGTTGGCTCGTGGACGTCGCCTTCGAGCTCCAACCGGCTAGTGCCGGCCCGGGCTCCCAGCGCCGCGCTCCCTACAGCATGAGTGGGCATATCACGTCGTCTTGTTCTTCGTCACCTTCTTCTCAACGTTCTCGGCGTACATCTACTCAGCTACCTGCACTTGCACTTCTTCATCTTTTTCATCATGTTTCTACCTCTATGGATCAGCTGCCCGACGACTCCATGACGGACGTTCCGGTCCAGATTCGGCTTCAGAACGCATTTCGGCGCGCGCTGCGCCCCAGTGCGCTCCCTGCAGCGCTGCCTCCACGCACTCGCGCACCCAGAGGTCAGCCTTCGCTCGCCCACAGCCCGTACCTCGGCGATGTCTCCGTCATCACATGGAACACCCAGGCCCTCTTCGCCGCGGACCCCGGCCGTCATCGCCGGAAGGCGACCTACGTGAGGAAGTTGATGGCCACCCACGATATCGGCCTCTGGACCGAGACGCACGGGTCCAATGGAGGCAATGAGGTGTGGAGAAACCCCGATGCTTGCACATCTTGGTGGTCACCAGGCCCCACGCCCGCCAGGGCAGGAGTGGGGGTGACGATCAAGAACTCCTTCCTCAAGCAGTTTGCGGCGAACCCTCACTGGCAGATCATTCTCCCGGGTCGTGCTGCAGTACTACATCTGCGAGGCCCCAGTGGCAATCTGGACGTTGTTGTCGTATACTTCCACACTGGTGCTGCCGCCTCCCCAGAAGACATCGAGGCTGCAGGGCTGTCTCACCTGGGCCGCCCCCCATCTTTCCCCGAACTCCGAGACGCTCTCCGACGGCGGCTTTCGCGGCACATCGCTTCCAGGGACCAGGTTCTCACGATCCTCGGAGGAGACTTCAACTATGTTGCGGACGTTTGCGACAGACGCTGCACCTCCACCGCTGCCGTCACGGGTGGGCGGGATCGCGGGGAAGAGGCAAGTTGGCACCGACATTTGGGACTTCCTCATGGCCTCCACGAGCTCCACCAACCCGACATGACGCATGCTTCGCCTTCGTCCCGATCGCGCCTGGACCGCATTTACTGTAATCAGGCCGTGGTGGAAGGCTTTGATCGGAAGCTAACTTGCGCTGCATTGGAGTGGCAGTCAGAGCTATCTCGACATAGAGCCGTCAGCTTTCGGCGTTCACTGCCGCAGCGGGAACCCGACTCATGCGCCCCGATATCGGACCTCACATTGGATCACCCCGAATGGCCGCGCAGAGTGGCGCTCGCGTGGCAGGAGATGCTGGACAGCGAACCTTCCGCCTCGCCTCCACGGCGGCTCGTGCTACTCAAGCGGGCCATGCGCGAGGCCGCCAAGAACTTCGGCTTCGAGGCTTCGGGTCCGCCGGGCCCGCTTGCGCACGAGGATCGCCTCGGGGTCACCATGAAATTCCTCCGCGCCTCAGAAAAGGGCTCGGCAGGCGGCGTCAGCCAATGCATCCAGCGGTATCCCATCTTGAAGGATCTCGTGGACAACCCTTACGACTTCCACACGAGCCCTGGCCGTCGCCTCCGGCTGGTCCGAGTTCACGCTGCCGACCTTGCTCGCGATCACGCCATCGACGAGCTGGGCAGGCTCCACGCCGACTTGAAGGACCTCTCTGATGCGCAGGCGGCGCGGCGGCGACATCAGAACCATCGTCTTCTTACACGCTTGTCTCCTGGCCGCGGCTGCCCCCACTACGCGCTCAGTGACAGCGCTGGCCACGTGAGCACATCACCAGAGCACATCGCAGGAGTTCTGCGCGACCATTGGTCTGGGGTCTTCCGCAGACGGGAAACGGACACAACCTTGCGCCGCACCTGGCTTGCAGACGAGGCCTCGCACGCCTCGCTGGCAGACCGCCAGTGCGTGCCCGGCGTCGCCGTGCCCTTCGAGATCTTCGAGCGGGCGGTCCAGCACACGAGCAACAGCTCTCCTGGACCAGATGGGATCCCGTTCCGCGCATGGCGTGCTTTAGGCGGCTTCGCGACGAGAGCTCTGTACGAGGCCTTCCTGGCCATCGCCAGCCCCAGTGGCGCGGCGCTGATGGACTCGGACTGGGACTCGTTCAATGAGAGCTCCATGGTCTTCCTCCCCAAGAAGCCATCAGGCATTACTGGAGACGGCATCGAGTTCTATGTCCCCTCGAACATGCGGCCCTTGAACATCACGAATACAGACAACAGAATTATATGCAGCGCGGTCCGCATGTACATTGAGCCCACCGTTGCCCCCGGGGTCTCCGATTGCCAGCGGGGGTTCCTGCATGGGCGCTCGATGCTTGCAAACCTCATGGACGTCGAAGAGTTCATGCTCCACCACTCGCTTAAGTACGACTCGTCCGCCATGGTCTTCTTCGATTTCGAGGCGGCCTTCCCGAGCGTCAGCCAGGAGTTCCTTCTTGATGTCATCGCGGCCCGGGGTTGGCCGCCATGGTGCGTGCATTTCATCCAAGCGCTGTATCGGAACAACAGGTGCCGCATCGCGCACGGCGGGTCCACTTTCGACGGCTTCGAGCTCACCGCGGGGGTCCGCCAGGGCTGCCCCCTCTCCCCGCTCCTCTTCGCCGTGCTTTCGGATGTTCTTTTGCGGAGGCTCCCGCGCCTCATCCCAGACGCCGTTCCTCGCGCCTACGCCGACGACCTGGCCGTCGGCCTGGTTCGCGGGACGGGGGACGCTTCCATTCTTGAGCACACCTTCGACGAGTACGAGCGACTGTCGGGGCTGCGACTACACCACGGAAAAACGGTTTGGGTTCCATTGGCACTGGAATCAACCGACCGCGTGAGAGAGCGTCTCCAAGTGGCCGCGCCCACGTGGAGCGACTTCACCATCCGCCGGTACGCAACTTACTTGGGCTTCGTCGTCGGTCCGGAACGCGGTGAACATTCGTGGACAAAGGCTTTGGACAAGTTCATTTCCCGGGCCAAGGTGTGGCGGGGCATCGGCTGCGGAATGATGCTGACCCTCTTGGCTTACCGCACCTACATCTTCCCCGTGCTCTCCTTCCTCCTGCAGCTGGACCAGTTGCCGTCCAATTGGGACGTTGTGGAGCAGCAGGCATGCGTCCTCCTCTTCCCCGGCCCCCGCTGCTGGACTACCCCAGCGGCGCTCCGGAGCTTGCGGTCCTTGGGGTTTCACGCGGAATTGGTCGACGCAGCATCCGTGGCGATCGCGGCCAAGTGCCGGGTATATCGATGGGAGAACACAGCTCATGGAGGACTTCAGGTACGTCGTCGTTCTCGTTTTTTGGACGCACTCCGACTGGATTCTGATCATTTGGATCGTTTGGTTGCCTGGAGCGGCTGGTACGGCCAGAATTTCTTCACGAACCTCACAAACGCGCGCGGCCATCTGGAACACAAGGCAGCAGCAGCCAGAGTGTCGGTCGAGGCATTGGTTCAGGGCGACGCGCCGGAACCAGCGCCGAGGTCTGAATGGCAGAAGCGGTGTCGGATTATATTGGCGGACCCGCGCCCGCAGGGCGCCGTCCGCCACCTCGACCGCTGCCTTTCTCGTCTCCAACTCCCGGTGCTCCGTGGGCGCCGCTTGGAGCGCGCGACGCTCGCGCTCCGCGGCCTGGCGCCGCTGGTGCCCCCGCGGGTGTGGGCATCGGTCTACCGCGTCATGTGCAACGGCTGGACTACAGGGCGCCGCATGCAGAGGCCAGCGCCTTGCGCGTTTGCATGCGGACACGGGGAGGACAGCGTCGAGCACTACATCCACTGCTCCAGGGTCGCGGAGTTCGGGCGCAGGCAGCTGGCGCTGACTGCCCCTCCACCCGGCGAGCGCTTGTCTCACTTTCTGCTCCTCTCCCCCTGTTTTTCCGAAGACACGGCGAGCGCTATCGCTCGCCGTGCCCTGGCGGTGTATTGCGTTTACGCGGCATCCACAGCGGCGCGCCACGGGGCCACCTCCAACGCGTGGGAGGCCATGTGGCAGTACGCTAGGGAAGCTTGTGCTGCGCATCCTCGCCTCGCATCGCTCGTGGCCGCAGTGTGGCAAAGCTGAGTTAGTTCCCCCCTCCTCTCCTCCGCTCCTCGTCGTTGTCGTCCGTGGTCGCTGCCCATCACATTTCTTCCCGCGTGTAATGTACTGACTCGCCAATGAGCGCGACACCTTGGGAGCACGCCTTCTTCTGGTCAGCGGGGCGCCCAGACTCACAGGAGTCGGCTGGCGATGACCCTCAGGGCTTTGCTCAGTGCTCTCCTTCCTTCTCCTCCTCCTCCTCTCCGCCTCCTCCTCCCCCTCCTTCTCGTGCCTTCGAAAAACCCGGTCTTAAGTAACATTTCCGCCCTGGCCCCCGGGCAATAATTGTCTCGGGTGCTCTTTCGCTGTCCCTGCCACGTGCCTGATAGCGTCTCCGTATTCTTTGGTGGTCGGCTGCCCACGCAGCCCGGCTTCCCTCCATGTCCGGGGGCAGTGGCCATGCGAAGTTGTCGAGGCATCCAGCCACCGTGG